ATCAACCCTTGAAGCCCACAGAAGGTATGCCAACATCCTGATGGCGGCACACAAAGGGTACCGCTTAAAATGATTGTTTCGAAGACACAAGAACTGAAAACGGGAAGGCAAATGGATGAAGAAGTGCCTGGCTTCCAGCTCGACCTTCGTCCGTTCAACAACACCGCGTCAGAAGAGGACAGAGTCCCCAAATATTTGGTTTTACATTCAGGAAATATGTCTGCAGCTTCTCCTTTGCTGCTACTTTTAGTAGAGGGGAGCATCTTTGGCAGAATCATCTACGTAGCCGTTCTGGGCCTTAAAAATAGCGTAGCCTGGCAGTGTATCAGGTGCACTTGCATCTCATTGGATACAGTCTTGCTGGGCGAAGCATGCATTTGGCTCGATATGCTGAAACTACGGATACCACCCAACGTGAAACACTTAAAATCGCTAACCACCATACAGTGTCTTGTGACGATTTTTCCCCATAAGGAAAACATTTGTGTCCATTCGCTAAATCACTGAATGGCTTCAGGCTCCCAAGACAAAATGCATCCACGCTTTTAGTGGCGCAGTTTTGCAATGACTGCGAGCTTGTCAGTCAAGCTTGTCAGTGCCGGAGGCAAAAACAGAGCTCTGACAGTTTCCAACGAAGATCCTCCATACAAAAGTGTACGGGCTTTAGAGCCACCCTGGATTCACCGCACCCACAGTATATGGTCTTCAAACTGCTTGTAGATTTAGCTCTTGTCAACAAGCCTCTACAGGGGGCCATGTCGGCCACCGGAATGTCCCCTGTATCAGAGCATCTCGCGAGAGCTGCAAAGCAAAGCTTCGCTGCAAAAGCACAACTCAAAGGACACTCAAAATCGCTGAAATATGCGGCATCTGCGTTTTTGATTCGTAAACTTAAGTTATGTCCTCCAATTCATTTGGTGTCCGTCGCCACCTTAGCTGTCTTGCAAGTGCATCATTTCCACAGAACGCATCTTCAAAAGAAAAATGCAACGAAATGAGTCGCTTACTGCCCTCAACGCGTAGGTAGTCAGCTCGATTAGTTCGGAAGAATCCCGCTTCGATTCCGCAGCCTCAAAAACCGTCCTAAACGAGACGATAAACAGCAAACACCGAATTCCTCGCCCCTCAAGCTTCAAGAATCAGAAATTCAACTGGGCAAGCTTTTATGGCACAATATTCCAGCTTCACATACACCCAAAGACGATGCGCCAGTTGCCCTGCAGGAAAACCCTTCTCATCTTCAAACGCTTCATCCAAGGAGACACAGAAACCCAGAGAGGTGAACTGCTGCTCGCGAAGTATAGCTGGAACTCTGAACTCGCCCACCTGAAAAACAGAATGACGGATGCACAAGTCGCGCCCACTGAAAAGAGGCATACTGACGCGAAGTGAGTGCACAATAAAATGAACGCACGTACACGCGTGAACGAATACTGCAGGCACTGAAAGCAGGGACAAGGTGAGCCGGTCTCGTGAACAACGCATGTTGCACAACCACGACAGCGTAAATGGATATGGCTTATCCCTGCTTTCATATCTCATAGCTGGGTCACGACGCGCATCGTGTTCATGGCTTGCCCCTTCTTGAATTAAGAGATTCGTCAAGAAGTCCCAAAGGGCATCCCATAATTTTATCTTCAACGTCTCCAGACCCTGTACATAGGCATGGCTCCCATCATCCGCAAAGGCTTATTAATGTTTAATCGCGACTTTGCGGTACCCACGCATCTCCGTGTGTGACTGTCAGGATGTAAGATATTACAGGTATATGTAAAACAGCTACTGCAGGAAGGTAGAAAACGACTTACTGATTTCTGAAGAGCACAGTGAAGAGACCATAGATGCAATAGCAAGAAATATATGCGACCGTTGAAATCCTCCCCCCTTATCTGGAAATCTGCAGCAAACAGTTCAACAGCGTCATTTCAATCGTCAGCGGCGAATGCGGAGCTAACGATTGACTCAATCACACGTGCGTGAGGGAAAGAGATTCAAACTGAAGTGTTGACTGGTAGGCCTACGCTTTGCAGTCGAGTTTGTGTCTTCATAGCATGGAATGATTGTGCGGAACAGCCGCCTACCATCCTCTTCAAGGCCCCTAGGAGAAAAAATGTAGCTGCAGACCCCACTCAGAGCCACAGAGATCGTGTTATTTTAGGAAGAGCTAGCTGCAAAACATACAACAGGTGGCAGACACGCGAGAAGAGCAGAATCTCGAGCGAAACACGATCTAACCTTCCCAACTGACGCAATCGCTGAAGTGAAGAGACATTTTGTTCTTTTCCTTCCCTTTGAGTTAGCATACATTCAGCCACTTCCTCTGCTGTCATCGTGCTCCGAGAAGATGAAACTATCTGAACACAAGTAATTAACGTTGTGAAGGGTCTGACAAAAAGGCGCTGTTACACCACGAAGCAGTGAAGATAGATAACGTGGCGTGGCATATCCCACCCGCTCATGAAGAACTTTTAGGCGCATTTCCTCCTCTGGGGACAAACAAAAATCGATGAAGCGATCTCTGGTCTGCAGCAGCGGAAGGAACACATGTTCTGCATGTCGATGTCAGAGGCATTTGAAGGCCACTACCTACATAATTACCATATCATCCTGAAGGTTACTAGCCGAACAATATTCCAGTTCTCGAAACGATCACCCAACAGTTCCACCCGCATCTCAGCTAGAAACGGACAGTCTGCCAGATGAACTGACGACCTCCAGCGGTGGGATCCACACTAATACCCGAGGCACTGCCGTCCAAAGAAGCATTGTTTGTCCTGGGTTCCCCGCTACTGCAGATGCTTTTGTTTCCCAAGAAACGATCGCCTCCAGCGCTGTGGAGCCCTTTGAGCCGCTGTAGTTCATTATTATTAAGCCAAGAAGATGGCGTAGTTTCCGAGCAAGTAACGCAGTTAATGCTTGCCGCAGCTGTGGTTGCCAAGGTCTGGGAGATGCTGTGAAGACCACGAATCGAACTCCCAACGCAATCGTGGCTGCTTCGCCCCAAGTGGCCCGAGGAGACCCGGCTCGCGGACCAGCAACCAAATTTATGTAAAACAGAGTTCCATGTCATCCTCATAGTGAATAAACTTGTTGTTCGACGCAGGCGTACCCTCAAGGGTAACTTGTCCACAAGTAGCTTTCCTTAACGTTTTGTAGCGTAGTCTGCTAGCCACTTCAGCCCTGACGGGATGAAGCATGACCACCCAAAGTGAAGATTAATAATTCCCAGGCGCCTGGAGCAGATGGAAAATTTCTTGGGGATAAGCAGTGCCCAATGGATAAGCACGCTCAAGTACCCCACTCCAACGATGTCAACCCATGCATTTCCCTCTAACTGAAATTTTGCCACGGCAAAAGTGTTACTAAGGTTACTAAGGTGTTGGAAATGGGAAAGTTTTGAATCTTGATCGTATTTCCTTTTTCTCTATTCGTGTGGGACATGTGACTGCGGAAGCATGCAGCACATTGGCAGCCCCTCGCGTGGGCAAGCGACGACCAGAATTGTTGAGCACGGAAAGTACCGCTGGATTTTTCTACTGTGGTATAAGAAAACAGTGTTGGAAGGGAAATCTGGCAGGCGAGCACTGGGCAGGCCTAAGAGGGAGCTACGTGCCAACATATCACCACAGTGGCGCAACCCAAAGGCATTAAAAAGAGAGGTCTGCTGATGAACACGGTGAAGCCCAGTAAGGAGGACATTCACAACAGACCGCATTAAACATTTCGTGCTCATTGGTCCTTTGTGAAAGTATCGTGGACATGGCGAACTACTGACGAGAAAGGGTTCTTCACCACATTCTAAAGCACGTGCTAAGGTCCTTTAGACGTTCAGCTGCATGGGACTGTAGGCACCTCCTTTGTTGCTTGACCATTGGGGGCAGATGCAGCCACCCATTGGGAGCTCCTCACTGCAGGCACCTCCTGCTCGGGATCCTGTAACGAAACTTCAAATCCTCTTGGGGAACTTGCTCAAACACTTTACGGCAAGCCTATCCCCACCAGGTTTCAAGGGTAGTCTCTTCTGACTGAGTTACGTGGAAAGCTGTCTGTATTATCCCCACACTAAATCTCTTTGTGTTGTGGCTTGCGTGTGCAACCAGGACGTGGTGGTACATTTGTCGGAAATGGCACCGCCACGGTCAGTCAGTGGCGCGGTGGATGTCAGCGAATCTTCGGAGATGTCTGCAACCTCCAATGTCGTTATTAGAACCGCAATGACCGAGGAACAGCTTAATGAGTTCATTTTGAGCTGCTCGAAGGGTGTCGGCACTCTCGTGCACACCATAGAAGAAGAAATAGAAAAACTCCCAGAAGTCATTCAGTCACAAGTAAGGGAAAGCAGACCTTGCGAGAGTCTAGGCCTTTAATTCATGTATACCTGTGGAGTGGCAGGTCTCTCCTGACCGTGAAAGCGTGCAGGAACGTTGCAGCGGCTTCTGCAAACATACCCTTCTGTTCTTCGCTGTCACAGGACGAAATTGAGAGCCAGATAAGGTACTTGGAGGAAGAAAATGAAGCTGCTGCAGCGGAATTAAAACAGCTCGTAGCAGCTGTACGCAGTGTGCGGGAAACACTGAGGACAGCGTACAGGGAAGCCGCGACGGACGGCACTCGCATCACAATAGACTAAACCCTATGCAAGAATCAAATATGCAGAACATGCATGAAAGTCGTTATAGTGGTTGTAAGCGTCTGCGGGGGTTAGACTGCTTGAAACACTATGTGCATAAATGCGTAACACCGTGAATGCAATCATCCGTGCCTTGGTGTACGCTGGCTTCCCAACGCTTGAGTTTTTATGTTCTATGCTGACAGGAAATTGGGCATATAGATTTTCAGACTGCATTACTTCTGGCTATTTGCACGTTGTGAGGTTCGGAACAGTCCGTGCTGCCGTATCTGGTTAGACTCTACATCGAAGCAGATGTATGCTGCTGTACTAAGCGCAGAATCTGGCTCAGTCTTTGAAACCAGAATAGAGCTTTCAAGAAACTGAAGTTCTACCACCCTTCAAGCCATCCTGGTGCCAACGGTCGCGACTGTTGCTGTATTCCTCTTCCATAGGTGGAGGAAGCACTGCACTTCCGTTCTTCCTTTTCTGCTTGGCTTTGTGCTGCTCCCGGGACGCCTTCTGTTCCTCTTTTACTACTGCAGCTTAGGCGAGGTCGGCAAGTCGCTTGAGGCTCCTCACTCTGAAGCACTTCTGTACGCTCCCCATCGTGGGCCGCAGACTGCCGAAAATTTTGCGGCTCCAGCACGAAGGAAATTCTGTCCCCGTGACGCCGCATTGTCCATCGCTTCCTCGATGCTGCCAGCCCCACTGTGACCGTTTGCTCATCTGTTTGGACTTGGCGGCTGCTCCTGCGTTCCGTGCTCGGCAATGAAGTCCCACGCACTCCATCGAAGGCCGGCTGAACTAAGTGTTCCTCAACGCAGTCCGGTTTATCAATTCGTGTATCCTCTCCTGTTTCTCGCACGTCCCTCGTGGTCATTTCAGTCGATGTAGCGCGCGGGGGTGGATGCCGCACTGGAGGTAGCTCAAAGGTGTGCCTTCCTAAGTAACCTTGAGTGAAATCACTGAGGAGCCGCTGCGCCGCAGCGCCCTCGTTGGAGTGGTGTCTTTGTTCCGCTAGCTGAAGAGGCAACAGCAAAGCAAGTGGAAGAAGCTTGTGGCCAGAACATTTATGGGGCCAAAACGAAGCATGCGGGCTTTCTACTCATCTACCTTCCTTGCTTCCTACCCCCGCTACTCACCATCAGCAGAAGTTGTACCCCCATGTTCATCTCATGCTTTACGGACAGCGGATCAATTTTGTAGCGAGTCATTACCCTGTCAAAGTCAGTAGCTCCCGGCACTAAATCTTTCATGCGAAAGAACGCGTCCCCAAGGGCTACTGCTGCTTCTTCTATAGTAAAAAGGCAACTGTGTGGCATCAAGTGAAAAGCCCCGAGTAAGGCAAGTTCATCAGGAGAAGGAGGTGGATGATTGAAATCAAAGAAAATGCCCAAATCGAGCTGTCGCTGCCGCGAAGCTGTGCCAAGGCGTCGCTGCAGTTGCCCCTGCTGTGATAAAGTTAGCCGCTTCTTCTTGCTGTTCTTACCAGGGTAGACAGGAATAAACCCGGGAGTGTCCACGACGTCGAAAAGCCGAGACATGTCGCCTTGCCGCGCCAGTGTGACCGGCTGCCTATGAACCTGCGGACCGCCGACAAGAAGCCAGCCCGTCTTGCTCTCTTACTCCGTAGCCTATCGCGTCTCGCAAATCGAAGTGCAATGTAATTGGCTTTAGCGTTCAAAGAAACAACGAAGCACTCGAGCGCCTTACATTGATGGACTGCGTCGTGCCTGGCCAACGGTAGCTACGCGCCACCTTTCTCCCCACTAGACTGTTTGCGATCTTGCTTTTCCCTACGTTGGGAAGCCCAACGATGAGAATGCGTAAGGGCTTCTTCTGCTGGAGAATAGTTCGTGTAGAGAGCGTTTTCCCACAGCGTCCTGCTTCATCTGCTGTATTTTTTAGGGACGCAGCCACTTGCGCCGCTTTGGCAGTCTCAGTGGATGAGTCTATCCCTGCTGCTGCTGCAGCCACGAAGGCCTGTTTACATAGTGAGCGGAATGCTTCCAGTTCTCTCTTGTACCGACAGTGCCGCCTCACTAGACTACGCAAAAGCCGCTGCAGCCGCACGACGGCCGCGGGCTGCCGCGCGTCAACAAATAAATAGGGCAGTCGTGGGGCCAACGGGCAAGCCTCGGATACCAAACGGAATAGTGCTGTGGCGCATAAAAATGCAAAGAAACGCCCAGCATCCAAGGCCAAAGTGATGGGAGTCTTTGTTAGCTAATGACATTCCGTGGTTTTGAGCCGCACGCTAATGAATATGAATCCGTGCTAGATGCATCAGTGCAATCGAAAAGCGTAGTAATTCGCAACAGTAGTCACACGCTTACCGGGATGCTTTAATTTTGTCCGAGCTCTTGTGAGCTCACTGTGAAGTTCCAAAGCCGCTGCTTCCCGACTTTCGCGTCTAAAGTGCCGCTGCCAGCGGCGTGTTGCGGTTGGGCTCGCCTGTGCAAAAGAAAAAGCAAGCAGCAAATTGAGCAATAGACGACTTCCGGCTGCCCGGAATCAATGTCCAACAGCGCACTAGCAAGAACTTGGACGCTGTTAATTTTGTAATTCCTTGCCGTAGTGCGCTCACTGCTTTTTTTCGCAACCGCACACGCTTGATGCCACTTCACTTTTCGCATTCTTTCTTGATGAACCACGACTCATCGCAAATCTTCATCACCATAAAGATTAAGGGTGGGCTTGAAAAGAGAGGGAAAATAGGAAACAAATATGCCCCACCTGGTCTGCGTGTGTTAGGACAACAACCTTGGGCTTTGGCAGGTGCAATACACGCAAGTTGCATCTGGAGAGTAAAGGCAGGCGAGCGTCTCGAACTTCAACTATGGCGTCGCACCGACTGGCGGCCTGCATTAGTGGGACAAGTGACGCCCTTGCAAAGGAGGGGAACCTGAGATGGGAAGACAAGTAGTGCCCAGAGAGAAAGAGAAGAAGATGTAGGGGCGCTTCTTCAATGCAGAAGGGAAAAAAGCTAACAGATATATGCAGGAGTAATAGGTAACACGAACGCACCACTGTGTTCTCCATCGTCGTACTGGCGCTTCATTGACAAGCGGGTCTTTGAGCTCCAGTGAACGGCGCAGAAATGCTTCCTCTCCCGCGTTCCACTTCTCCGCTGCTTCCGCTGCAGCTGCTTTTGCTGGAGGTAACAACCCGCGTTTTCTATTTCTTCGGCTAGCACAAAGGAAGCGAATATTTCTCCTCCGGATACGAAGGAGCCGCTCTGTCGAAAATTCAGCAGCAGTTGCCACGCGGATGAGTGGTGAGGGTCCTCGCTTGTGGAGCTCCTCTGCAGGCTGCGTTCGTGAGGAGGTAGAGGCAAAGCATAATACTCCATTTTTTGCTTCCATAGCAGGATCATGATGGTGTAAGCCTCCCCCGCGTGCCAGCAATTCACTGGGGGCCCTGTGGCAGTTCTCTAGAAAGCAGTCAAGGCGTGCTGGGGTCCACAGATCCTGGGTAGGGCCTGTGCGAATTGATGGGGCCTGCAAACTGTGAACAAGGAAGGCAAGGAATTGAGACTTCCCGAGTAGCCCCATGCTACGGACAAGCCCGTTTGCCAAGACCGGAAAAGGGGGCGAGGCCTTCGCCCACGTTATGTCAAGGAGGGCCCGTGCAGCGTGAAGATATTCCAGAGGACCAAAAATTACAAGCAGGCGATGCAGCAAATGAGACTGCGACGCCTAAAAGAAAGATCTTGCACTGCAGGGAGGGATCGTTATAACGCGAACCGTGGCAACAGGGCCTCATCATGAAATGTCCGTTCCTCTTTGGAAGGTACGGGAAAGTGAAACAGAAAAATTAATCAATTGTAATAAGTAAGGCAAGTCCAGTCTTAGACAGATTCCAGGATGTACTACTGGCCTGTTCTGTTGAGGTCCACTTTGTGTCTGAAGAACAGTACAGCAACCTAGGCTTTATTGAATTGAGGGGCTGCAGCTGAGATTTGAGCCTCTCATAACTGCAAGATTCTGTGTTTGCTCCCTTAATATGTTGCTGTCATTGATGTGTAGGAGACTTAGACTGCGGTGCGCAACCTCCTCATAGGCGAAGAAACTCCGCGTTCTGCCCACTGTAGGAGATGCGATGCGCCGCTAGTGCAAGACACCCTTCCGAGTGTACGATTCGCAATTTGTGTTTTGTTGTGCTTCGCTGCCTACAGAGTCGCCATGCAGTTTTCCCCATCGTGACTAAGTGGAGAAGCTGCACTGCGTGGGACGACTCACCTACCAATTGTGAGTGCGTCTGTTTTCACGGATGTGACTTACGTCAACCAAAAGCGGTGTAACCAATTATACTAGGAACACGTAACTGCGTGTATTCCAACAAATAAGTCGTGTACTGCAGGGAGCAGGCCCGCCATTACAGGTAGTCTGCCGAACCGTCCGTCCTCCCGAGCCCTTCAAAGCTACTAACATTTCCAGCCACAGCTCCGTTTACCAGAGCCTTTTTTTATTTACAAATCATAGGCACCGTAGATTTCTCCAGAGGGTGCCCAGTGAGGAGCGATGCTCGAGCCCCTGTCTGGCTGGTGAGGAAATTGCGAGAACTGGCATTTCGACTTCAATGACGGACATATTACACGTGAAAGCATTGAACAACATAACGGAATACTCGTACGTGTGCAACACTTCAAAGGGAGCTCTTCTTAATTGTGAAGAAGTGTGGGGACTCCTTCCGGACTGGATAGAAGGTACTCAGTAAAACTTTCGTTCAGATGCTCCCATTTTCATTCCATGCAAGCGTGCACACCAGTGTATTTGGCCTTAGAAGAAAATAAAGTAAGACAACAATAGAGGCATCTCCGCAGGAGTCCACTTGAAGCACCTGCGCCACATATGCAGTGCGCCACTTCACTCAGCACAGGTCTACTCATCTCTATGTGCACGTCGACGATGTACTGGGCGCTTACAATCCAAACCTCCCAAAACTAGGAAGGGTTTACCCGTCAAATCGCAAGGTCTACGGTTCAGTTACTCTTCACAAAACGTGGCACCGCACCTGAACACTGGACAGCCTATATGTGCCCCCTATTCTCCCCCTTACATTCGTGACGATGCAATGCAGCAGAAATTCAAAGAAAAACTATCCACGACTTTGGCCACCTTCGACAGGTACAAAGAGGATGTGCATCTTGATGACAGCTCGAAGGGCATGCTTCTCGTAACGGAAAAGCTTCAATACCTTCCTCCACTGCCGGTTATATTCACATAGCACAGGCGGCACTTGCAATTGCCTCCACTGTGAAAGAAGATCGATTAGGCTGCTGCAATGAAAAATACGCCAGGTATGGCTCCTGCCAGATCCACGCCCCCTTTATCACTCAAAGGCATGGTAATGTGAGAGTAGATGTGAACTGGTCGGCACAGTTGAGGGTGATATCCTTCAACAAACAGATAATGCTTCCCGTCCGCATAAGTTAAAAGCTTGAAGTGTTATCCGCGTCCTTTACTGTATCATTCTCTGTACGTATCACGCACTGAAACCCTCAAATTCGGCCCTCCGTGGAAGTGTCACAGTGTTCATGAAAAACGTTCTCCTCATCTGATGGAAGGCTGCCGCATTTCAGTTCCATGAGACTGCTGGCAGAGGAGCTACCAACGAGGGATGGAGGCGGCGTTTCTGTTGGCGGGAGAAGCATCTGCCGTATGTACTCAGTGTCATCCAGGTCCCTAGCATCCCAAGGAGGGAGTCCTGTCTCTCCAGCGCCATGCATGTTTGGGTGCGCGAAAGATACGACGAACTCTGAGTCGTTCTCATAGACGCAGAGATCGGCACCAGCAGTCTGCTCAGCCGCAAAATGTACCTTCCGCTTACGGAGTTCCGACACCACGCTGGCTTGTTGAACAGAAGGCAGTGCGTTCCGTTGACCCACATCACCAGATTCTTCTTCTTCCCTCTGCAAAAACTCAGCCCGCTGCAGCTCCAGCCACCAAGCGGGCTGTGCTTCTTCTACGGAGGGTTCCTGAAAATTGTAAGCAACCACCGACAGAGGGCTATGGGCCAAATGAATAGGGCTTAAAGAGCTGTCCAGATATTACTACCGCATGCTTTAGGGAATTGCGGGAACTCTTATGACTCACCACACAAACCCCTAGCCATCTGACAAACGTAAATGGGTCCATTACAATGGAGAACTGAGCGCTTCTTCGAGGACTTGGCTAGCGCAGTAGCTTTGAGCTACCACAGCTGCTCAAGAAGCACGGATCTACCCACTGTGTGGACTAAGAACGAGTGATTACTGGTGCCGTATAGAATTAAGCAACGGTCACGCTCCTAGGTTTTTTCAATGTGCCTATATAGCCAAACGGTGGTCACTCCTCATCTGGGAAGCAGACGCCGTGGAAGGCCGGCTGAGCGTAAGACAGCCGGTAGGACAGGGCCAGTTTGTTTTCGGTTGTATGTATTGCACTGCCTTCGTCGTAATTCAGATGCACAGCTCCTTGAAGAACGCAGTCACCACACCGGCCCTGCAGTGTCCCATGAACTTCTTCATGAAAATATTCCGAGCAGCAACGCTACATCCCCACATGTGGCCTGCATATGTTCCTGTATGCATCTGAAGAATGGCAAGAGGGTGGAAGCGTAGTAAACTGGCATGACGTGCATGCATCCGGATGCAGTTTCCTTTGATGCGCCTACTAGGTTCTTGAAGCTGGTGTAGAAAATACTATGCTGGGACAAGGACTGGCGTACGCTGCCAGCAGTGTGTTGTTACCTTCCAGCTGACTGAAATACTGCGTTCAGCAGTAATGCTTCAGTCTGCACCTGTGAACCGAGATGCTATTGGCACGAACTAGAAGTCGTCGGAGAAATGCAACTCGCCCCTCGCCGAAACCGTTCCTCCAGTGGTTCGACACTTGTAGAATAAACAGGAATTCTTTCAGAATGTCTCGACTTCCTGCTCCCCAGACGCCAGAAGCCGAAGCAACGAAAGCGTGAAGCAACTGGTCTCGGTCGACCAATGCGTGGGGAGCGCTGCCAACGCTACAGCATGCTCCTAAGACTAATGAAATTTGTTAAATAAATGCATGTTTGTATTACTGAAAGGAGTGGGTATAATTTGCTGAGTAGATACCAATAGTCGTACCCCTCTTTGGTGCGAGCCGTTGAGTGTCATAGGAGTGCTGCACAGCTTGACTCGCTTTGGGGAGCATGACTACTTTTGGTCTTCCTGTACGTGTGAAAAGTGGTTTCAGTGCGTTGTAACACCAGAAGAGCAGAGGGGAACGAAAATGAATTTGAGCTTTACGCCTTCAGTATCCTTTGCACACTAGAATGCCACCGCCAGTTTACGTGAGATGCAAACGCCACTTGCTCAAAACAAAATAATTGGGGAGGGACACGCATCTTTGTATACATCATGCCATCATGAAGTCAAAGCCCTCGTGGTTCTTCACCATAAATCGTGATTTATGGTGGAAGACCCTCATAGTTATTTAGGTTGACTTAGTGCATCAAAGTTGGACTTCTTACAAATCGTGCTCGAAACCAAGAAACACCGGTTTCGATAGACACCCTAAAAGAATAATTTCTATTCAGAGAATTGTGTTTCGTACGTATGATGACGCTTTGCCGGAGCGGTCTCAGCGCATTTACTAAGATCATCTTGCTGCGCGGGGAGCTCCTGCGCAGTACAAGTATGGTTCGTAAGTTGATACCCAAACTTCCCTGGCAAACAGAAAAAGTTCTTATCGGTCATACATGTGTGAAGCCACGGCTGTAGAGGGAGCACAAACGGGAAACCTGGAAATCTTCCAGACAGAGCAACTCAAAAACAAAGTGAAGGAGTTTCAGGAGCTCCATAGAAGACGGGAGTATAAGACTGCACTCCTAGTCGCCTGGAGAGGAAGCAGAGCTTCGAACCAGATATATATCGTTCGACAACTGGCCGCGAGAGTGGGGCACCCGCGGGGAAAGTTGGATAAGTATCGCTTGACAAAGTGTATATTTGACGCACTGACAACCCTTGAAGCACAAGGATACAATCGACATGAGGCTCTTTCTAGGTGACCCGTTTCACCGATGTGGGGATAAACTTAAGGCGTTGAGGCAGCGAGCTGGCCATGAGCTGGTTGTGTGCCCCATGGGCTCCGAAGTATCTCATTGCATGCATCTCAGGAACGCCGTAGACATAGGCAGCAAGACGCTCGTGAATTAGTTGCTTGAAAATGGTCTATGTATCCTGTCTGGAAATAAGCCAGCGAAGCACAGCACATTCTAGCTGTAGGAAGAAACGATGTGTCAAGCCTCAACTCTGAAACAATTATGCAAGGCAAGCGCGAAAGCTGGGCCAACAGAGCAGCTTTTGTGGGAGGAGGCTGCGGAAACCCTAGTCTGCAACCTGGGAGCAGTGCTTGC